GTGAACTCTTTCACCTTTATACAAAACTCCTGTTCATGTGGATTCTTATTAAAAATGACTGGATTTCATTCATGCTGTTTTGCAGTAAAAGGAAGGCAGCATGCAGCCTCAAATGTTTTAACCAGGAATGAATGTTTTTCTCTTCCATTTTCTCATTATGTTTCTCTCCATAAAGGTGCTTCTTCTTCAGACTCAGAAGGTGAAGGATCTGTGTCGAAGTCTAGGTCCGGAGCCATGCCACAGTATGTGTGTTTCAGCATGTTCTTCCTCGCATGACCTTTAACCCTTTGACCTCAGGCCTCAGCTTAACTGGCCCTGATTATGAATTATCTAATAGCCCCTAATTTATCCTCTGCCATGAAAGTTTGTATTGCTCCTCGTGAAGAACATGGGAGGTTGGTTGGGAATGAAGTGACCTTAAAGAATAGCCAAAGCTGTCTTAGAAGGCCAATAATCAATCAAGAATTTAGGAATCTTGTTGCCTAATCTTCATAATTTGTGTGATCGCTTGAACGCTCTTCAGTCACCTCTGAACTCATGCGCTTATTTCTCTTCCTGTCATCTCTTGCCTCTACTGGCATATCAGTCTTTCCTTTCTGTTTACACAAATTATTAAGCGCTTGGCTCTGGTTCCCAGTGACATCATCGCACCCATTTGGGATTACGCTTTCACTGGCTCTAAAGTCATTTATAAGGTGCAAACTGCATAGTGAAAATTCACACAGTGGAGTGGATATTACTTCACTGTGTGTGTGTGTAAGTTGGTGCGTGTTAGAGAGGAATTACCCCACAGAGAGAGCATGTAAAGCAACATTATACCATTTATTAACTTGTCTTAGCTTATATTTCTATATATTTGCTGTTGGAAATTTTCACTTTAAATTAAATGACCTAATGTTTTAAAAATCAGACAAACACTGTTAAGACTTTGAATAAACCTGTATCCGCCCATTAGATGTGGATATGGCTTTTTTTAATGTGCTCAAATAGGATATCACTCTCATTTTCAGTCTGGCAAAGATCTGCCCAGGCATCAGAAACATTACAGACATCTTTTTTACTAACATTAGTGTTTTTAGTATTATTGAGATATTATTATAGTTTTAATTATACTTGTTTTTATTTTTATATTTTCCATTTTCATTTTCATTTTAGTTAAAGTTTTTGTAATTTTGTTGTGTTTTGTCATTTGTGTTCTTTTTTTTAGGTCTGTTTAGTTTTGGTTTTAGATATTTTAGTACATTGTTAAACTAAACTTTATACATTTAAACTAAAAATTTAACTGAAAAAAAAACGAGAAATGTTGCCTTGGCAACTAGTTGAAATAAAATATTGAAGTTGTTTTTTCATTTTATTTTATTTTAGTTAACAGTTAACATTCATTTTAGTTATTTATATGTAATAAAAATGCTTTTATGGTTTTAGCTTTATCTCCGTTTCCCCCCACAATCCAAACACATGCAGCATAGGTGAACTGAACACTCTGAATTGCCTGTAGGTGAGTGTGTGAATGTGTGTGTGTGTGTGTGTGTGTGTGTGTGTGGGCCCTGAGATGAACTGGCCATTCATTCTGGATGGCCTGAGACGCCTGTGGCCCAAAATTCTGAAATAGGCTCCAGCCTCCCGTGACCCTGCAGAGGACAAAGGAGTTTGGAAATGGATGGATGGATGGATAGATGAATGGGTTTTAGTTTTAGTGAAATATAATAACCCTGACCAGCACTGAAACAAATTCTGACCACTGATTTATTCTGAGGCAAAATATAACCCAGCTGTTTCTATATTTTTGCCTGGTTTGTTATATGTGACCATAAACTGGGTCACGTATAATAAAAATGTAACTTCACTTGAAGAAATTTTAATGGACTGTGAAAGAGCAAAAAGATTGATTCACTTGTCATTGCTTGACTAAATGTTTTCAACTTTCAGCCAGGATGACTCAAAATACCCGTTTCTTTCAGTCACAAGCTCTGTTTTGTTTTGGTTCAAATGTACATGAATATTGCAAGATGAGAGTGTGTTCTTTACTTTATATCTAAATGTTTTCTTAAAGGATGACTTTGTAGTGTTGATGATTTGTTCTCTCAGGTCTGAATGAGGTTTGTTTTAGTGTTGCTAATAATTTTCTCTCATGCAGGGCACAGAAGAAAACCAGCTCAGTTTCTTTGACGATACACACATCGTCACCAAAGAGCCCAGAGGCCCAACCTCATCGCTCCACACTGGTCCAGACGCTTTCTACCACACCACAGAGAGTAAGAAATACACACACAGACTATACCTCTTTTTTGGCACTGAAACTGCAAACTACTATTGAGTGGCACTGAAACTACTATAGAGTGCTGCAAGAATAAATCCTAAAACCGAGAAATAAGTTAGTAAAGTTAGTAAGCTAGTAATAAGTTATCTACTACAATGACAGAGAAATAGACACATGCACAAATATGTCTGTAGACTAATCAGGAATGACAACAGCAGATGAACTTATAAAATCTCACGTTCTCTGGAAAGATCCATAATAACCACACATTGTCTCTCATTCTCTCTCTCTCTGTCAGGTCCAGAGTCCAGTTTCTTCACTCTATGCTGGTGATGGTCCTGTTAAAGCACCCCCTAACATTACGTCATGTGACTCTCTGTGCAGGCCTAGGCAGAGGTTCAGAGTTCAATGCCAAATGCTGTGTTTGCTCAGTGTGCTAAATCATTTTCCACCTCCTTAAAGAAAAAGTTTTTTTTAGCCCCCCCATCTCTCCATTATGCCACTCCGTCTTTCTTCTGAGAGACTTTAATCTTCCTAATGAGAAGATGTGCCTTTTTATAATAGATGGTTTCGTGTCATCATCATAGTCCTAAACAAACAGGCACACAAATAAAATGGCTGGATTGTATAGACATACTTCTTGACTTGAACTTTAAATAAACCTTTAACACGTCACGTGTAACCACAAGCATGCTACACACACTTACACAAAGCTTCAAAGAGAACGAACACACAACAGAAGGCAACTCACACGCACATGTATATACAAACTACTCTTCGCCTTTTTACTTTTATGGGTTGCTGACAGCTTCTTGCCTCTATGTCTGTTATGTCGTCAGTCTGAAAGAGTATGTACTTGTGAATGAAAGAGGTGCTGAAGAAAGAGCAAAATTAGTGCTTGTACACCTTTTCATCTGTCTCTTCAGTTTTTCCATTCATCTGTCTGTTCTCTTTCCCTTTGTTTAAGTCTCTCACTCTGTATTTGCAGTGTTAACCTGCGGTTCTCTTGCTCTGTAGATGTTGCAGGACGCGCAGGCATCTGAAGGTCAGGTGGTGGTTCTGGAGTGCCGCCTTGTATGACTTGATTTTTTTTTCTGTGCAACAGTCATATGAAACAATTTTTACTTGAAATACTTGAAAACCTCAGAGTGACCGCCATATTCTTAAACATGTTCCTTTTGTGTTTAAGGGAAAAAAACAAGTCATCTGGGTTTGAAACAAAATGAATAAATGTTGACAGAATTTTCCTTTTTAAGTAACTATTTAAACTATTTGAGAAGCTATGTTTGGTTTATTGGTAGACTGATAACTAGTGATTTGTTATGGTGTTTGTGTTTCTCTCTTAATTCCCATATCACTTTTTCATCAGAGCCAAGATCAGCAGCAGAACCCGGTGAGTTTTTTACTCCTGCTTCCACTTTCCCCTCTCTCCACTCCTCTTATTCATAAAACACTTTCCTCCAGATACATGTGTACATATGGATTCATCAAGATAATAATTCTCTGTAAGCCCAACATTTGTGACATCCTCACAATGCAATATGCAGTTTGGACGAGATATGACTCGAAAATCTCTGATTAACAAAACAAATAAACAGGATACATGCATGTCAACACAGCATATGAGTCACATACTTTCACTTATCGGTACATGTGTATGGCTCACCTTTTAACTCTCACCTCTATCTTTGGGTATGTCTCAGTCTGTTCACTAGTTCAGTAGTTCATATAATAGTTTTGTTCATTTTAACAGTGACAGCGAGTGAATATGCATGATAAACTAATGAAAGTAATAAAACTATTTGTTGACAAATACCACCTACATTAATTTGAGCCTCGTCATTTGTAATGGTGTCGCAGGTAATTGAGTCATCACTGTCTCAGTGTTTAGTGATCAAGGCCCTTGCTAGTGACTGAATTTACTGAATCACCTCGTAGGAAACATGGAAAAAGAATGAGACACAGCCTCTGTCTGCCGCAGTAGACTTCTCTCTGCTATTGAATCACCTCTGTAACCATCAATTACCTGTCTAGATTCACCACACCTGTCTATCTAATTGTCTATCACCTGTCTACATCCCTCCCTCTTTACAGGAAATATTTTTGTGATTCTCATATCTCTGGAGAAAGCATTGTTGGATGCTCCATTGCAGCAATAGATTATATATATAGTAGCTTGTTGAGCTAATTAATTTGAATGGTTTAAGCTTATGTATGTGTCACTGTGTTATTTATTAAATTCATTTCTAGTCTGGTTTTGCTTGTGATATTGATGATTTTGTAATCGATGGCTCCTGTGATTGGTCTTGCAGAGGAAATCTGTACGTTGGTGATTGCAGAGGCATTCCCTGAAGACGGAGGTAGAGCTAATTAATTTGAATGGTTTAAGCTTATGTATGTGTCACTGTGTTATTTATTAAATTCATTTCTAGTCTGGTTTTGCTTGTGATATTGATGATTTTGTAATCGATGGCTCCTGTGATTGGTCTTGCAGAGGAAATCTGTACGTTGGTGATTGCAGAGGCATTCCCTGAAGACGGAGGTCTGTTTTGCTGCACTGCAACCAACCAATACGGCTCAGTTAATAGCACGGCACAACTCACTGTCACCCCAGGTGTGTTTACACTGTATCTACAATAACTATATCTGAGAACAAAGTTCATGGAAATGTAAATATGTAAGTAGCCTGGTGATATATTGGTGCATAAAGAGGTTCACATTTAAAGAAACATGTTCAAGTAAAAAAAAAATCAATTATCAAACAGTGTAATATATAGCAAACATCTGTCTTATATAAGTATATTCACAACCATTCAAATGTTTGGGGTCAGTGAGTTTTTATTTTCATGTTTTCGAAAGAAGTCTCTCTCAATCAATCGATCAATAAATAACTTTATTGTGATGGCAAAGATAAAATTTCAGTCTTTAGCGTCACATGAATCTTCAGAAATCATTCTAATATGCTGATGTGTATATCAAGAAACATTTCTTATTAGTAGTAATTTTGCAAAAATATTTTACAGCTTAACAATTTTGTGGAAAATTTGATACTTGTTTTTCAGGATTCTTTGATAAATAGAAAGTAAAAAAAAAACGGTGATCATGATAATGAAGAAGGAATATATTTTTAAATAAAAACGTTCAAGGAATATATTTTGTATTGATGTTTACATAAAGCATTTTACACAAAATTAATGGCTCCTGTTTATGACCTGAGTCCAGTATTCTTTTGTTTGAGTGTAATATGACATGAGTTGAAAGAAGGCCAAAGGATAAACCTCTGAAAACAACAAAATGAAGCACAGTAAACAGTCAGCTGATGGTTTCAACATTACAGCATGCGCTCAATTTTAAGTAGTAAATATAAGTGATATAACACAGGAATCGTAATGACTTTATTTACAAAGCAGTAACAAAAAACTAAAATGCCCTTTCCAAAAAAGGCATAGCAACTCCATCTGTGATCATTCGATGACATTTTATGGGGCCCACTGTGGTTCATCTTGAAAACATGTCAATTGGATGAGGCCGACCAGCCACATCTTATCCACAACACTCCAGGATCGGAGTGTGGGTGAGGAGAGAGGATACAGTATGTGCTGATAGCTGTGTGTCATATGGCAAAGACAGGAGAGGCATGCATGTTTATACTGCATGATGGAGTGAGTGTACTTATATTTCCAGAAGTCCTTAAGCCTTAAGTTTACTATAGAGCCATTTAAGTAAATCTGAGACAGTCTCAGCCAGATTTCATGTCTGATAAAGGTTTGGATTAGGTTTTAGCTGTGGATTAACAGTTTATCTAGGATTATGGGTAGTTATAATAAGTTTTCTTCCATTGCAGGTGTGTTTTAGCATTTTGCAATGATTGTTAAAGTGTTGTAAAAGCTGTTTTCTCAACAATGACGAAATCATGAACTGATTTCCCCGGTTACTCATAGACCCTATATTTCCTTCTGTATTCCACTGAAGTGCACTGTGACGTGGACCAACTGGATTTCATCACCCACTTAATAGGAAAAGAAATCTGTTCTCACCCTATAATGAACTGTATATGTCTTCTGTTATCTTGGATTTCTAGTTGCTGAAGAGTTGCCTAGCAATGGCGTATCTGGGGATGACAGTGTGTTTGAGGACAACCAATCATTCCCGCCTCCACCTCCTCCACCAACTGAGATTAGTTTGTTGGAAGTCCCACCCAAAACCCCGCCGAGTGCTGAGGCCTTCCAGATCAATGAGCTGGACATCTGGCCCAGCGTCACCGCGTTGCCTGTTCAGGTCTCCGCAGATGAAGAGCCTCAGGAAAGTGTTCCTGACAAACCTCTACAAAATGGTCAAGCCTTAAACAAGCCACCAGATGAGAGTCTACAGTCACCTTCAAGCTTGACGGAAAAAGCGGCTCCGCCTCCATCGCCTTCAGCGGTTAAGGCTCCACCTCTCCCCACCAAACCCAACCTAAACTGTGAGTACTGCAGCTGAATCCTGTACATCATCACAACCTTGTATTTATGAAGCCTTTTAGCTTTGAATCCGTCCATATGCTAGTGCAAGCGTTCACATTTTGCAGATAAATGCATTATAAATTGTGACCCTGGACCACAAAACCAGTCTTAAGTGTCAATTTTTCAAAATTTAGATTTATACATCACTGAATAAATAAGCTTTCCATTGATGTATGGTTTGTTAGGATAGGACAATATTTGGTTGAGATACAACTATTTGAAAATCTGGAATCTGAGGGTGCAAAAAAATCTAAATACTGAGAAAATCACCTTTAAAGTTATCCAAATGAAGTCCTTAGCAATGCATATTACTAATCAAAAATTAAGTTTTGATATATTTACAGTAGGAAATTTACAACATATCTTTATGGTAGGAAATACTTAATATCCTAATGATTTTTGGCATAAAAGAAAAATCTATAATTTTGACCCATACAGTGTATTTTTGGCTATTGCTACAAACATACCCAAGCGACTTAAGACTGGTTTTGTGGTCCAAGGTCACAATTTACAGTGTTTTTCAGGGAAAATGGACCAAAATGCTGGTGACTCATCCTGCACTAGACAGATTTTCATCCAATCAAATGCTCTCTAGAATGAGAATGTCCCTCCCACTAACACCACCTGCTACTGCCTAATGGGTGAAAAAAGCTTCCTCTATGAACTGACTTTCAGTTTGTACTGCATTCAATGAAATAAAAGTACACTACCTTTCAAAATGTTGGGGTCAAGATACATTTTTTTAAAGAAATTAATATTTATTCAATAAGGACACAATGAATTGATCAAAAGTGACAGTAAAGACATTTATAATGTTACGAAAGATTTATATTTCAAATAAATACTGTTCTTTTGAACTTTATTCATCAAAGAATCCAGAAAAATGTATCCCAGTTTCCATAAAAATATTAAGCAGTACAGCAGAGTTTTGATAATAATAAAAAAAATATTTAAACAAATCAGCATATTAGAATAATTTCTGAAGGATTCAGCTTTAACCATCACAGAAATAAATTACATTTTAAAATATATTAAAATAGAAAACAGTTATTTTAAATTGTAATACGATTTCACAATATTAGTGTTTTACTATATTTTCGAATAATTGCAGCTTTGGTGAGCAAAAAAAACTTACAATGACTTTCAAAAACATTAAAAATCAAACTTTTCAAAAGGTGGTGTACTGTACAGTATGTAAGTATGCAGGTGTTTGGTTTGAATACAATTCGCCATAATGCACTTGTGGTTTTATCCGTGACTTCTCTCCACACATTTCCCCATTCGTTCTGTGATTCCAGATCAAATGAGCAAGCAGACGACCTCTCAAATGAAAGGTAAAACAAAGAATAGGTTAATGCAACCTGAGTGTGAATAACGCATATGTGCGTGGGTTTGACGGGCATGTGATAGCTATGAATGGAAAATTGTTTCTTGTCATGGATGAGGTCCAAGTTGAGGTTTACATGGCATGCCGTTTGGCAAAACACTGTCTTTGCTTGAGCTTCTGCAAATTATTCCCTTAAAAAGCTGCTTCCCCAAAAGATTTTCCACTGTAAACGTCACAAATCAACCACTAGAAGCAACACAGCAGGGAGCAGGTAGTAAGACCCTCCCCCAACGAAAAACACTCCACCCCACTGCTTTCTACCCAGCACTAGTCACTTCACCTTGTCATTTGGTTGTAAAAACAGGAATTTCATAATTGTACAATTACCCAGGGGTCAATTCTGCATGCTGTGTGGCAGGTTATCGTTTCTCTGCATCCTCCTGGTACAATCAGACCTGAACCCTGCCTTCTGACCCTCCAATCCCGTTTACACATTCCAGCTGATTTCCTTTGGATATTCCCATAACTCGCTGTTCACATCAGTGCTTTGAATAAAATGATGAAGTGGAATTTTAAGTTCACATTGTAGCTGCTGACATTTATCTTTTACAGGTCCCCTGTGATCTGAATTCTCCTTTAGTTCAACTTTATTTCAGTGTTACGGTGATTTATCAATTACATCTGTGATTATGTTGTTTGCTGAAAAGCAATTAGAAAACGAGTGGAAAGTATGAGTTTGCAGTTCTGGTCATGTTCTTTGGGTAAACTAGTAAAAGGGTGATAAACTTCACCTGGTCTCATGTTTCATGTTTCAGCGATGGGCCTTGGGCTTTTTCTGGCACTACAGCATTGTTTTGATACGATGCATGTCATATAAAATAAAATCAATCTGGTGCTGCCTACTAAAAGTCTTTATTTTGGAGCGATTGCTTGCTTGCAAATATGTTTTTCTTTTCTTAGCCTTTCCTCCCTTTAAATATCAAGTCTTGAACATTTTACCCAAAAATGAAAGGTTTGTCATAGTTTCCTCACCCTCATGTCATTCCAAACTGACTTAATTTCTTCCGTCCAACACAAAAGGTACATTTTTTAAACATTCTTTTCACTCTTTTCTATATAATGAAAATGAATGAGGACTGGGGTCAAGCTCCAAACTGACAAAAAAGGCATCATAAAATATGACTTGTCCTTATGAAGTCTTATGAAGTCATATTACATTTTTGTGTGATGAACAGACCAAAAACTGTTACTTATTGAAAATGAATGAAGTAACAATGTTTGATTCACAAAGAGTTAATCATTTATCGTCATTCATCGGACGGATACAGTTTCCAAGGTCAGTTCACTAATTCGGTTATTGTGAATCAGTGAATGTTTTAAATTCAGTCTGTTCGTCATATTAAGTTATTGTATGATTTTTTATGATTTTTAATATAGCACAAAAGTTGAATGTTTTTGAAACTGGAAAGCTCCAGTCCACATTTTTTGGAATTGCATATAGACAAAAAAAAAAGATTATTTTGTGTTCCACAGAAGAAACAAAGTCAAACAGGTTTTTAACAACATGATGAGTTGAGTATATGATGACAGAATTTTCATTTTGGTTGAACCATCCTTTAATTGTCATAATCTGAAGATTTGAAGAGATCTACTAAAAAGTGAACTTTCACCCAAATTTAACTGTTTTCAGACATTCAGTGCCAAACTAAATGCAAGACTCACAGAAAGAAACCAACTCAGCTGACATTCATAAAACTCATTTGATCTTATTTCTGTTGGTGGGGCATTTGGTTGGTGCTTGTTCATTGTTCTAACTAAGTGTTGAGTGAACGTCCTTCATTGTTTAACGCCTTTGCACTGTGTAGTTTGATTAACATGTTCAAATCTTTTCACACTTGATCCCTTGTTGGCTCTCCATGCCTCTGACGCTACACCCTGCGGCGATACACGCCATACAGGAAACTGCGCAGTGTGTTTTGGCAGACTTTGGTGACAGCAGGAGGGCCCTTGTGATGTAGACAGGGCCCAATGTCCTTCAGCACAGGAAGGGACAGAGAGATAGACAGAAACAGAGGAAGGTGTGAACGAACAGGGTGTTTGGTGGGCGTCAACCTGCAGTCAACCCAGAGGAAAGGCTTTGTGGGTCAATTTTGAGGCAAATATGGCATATAAAAATTAAGCTGATAATGAGGGTACATTACTCAATTTGTGACATTTATCTGAACAACTAAATCCCTGTTACAACCGAGGTTTTATTTTCAGAGGAGCATCTGTGCAAGTGAGAGATGGTTATGTGCACCTCTGATTTATGAGCTTGGTGGGCTGAAATCACAGGGGTTTTATGAGAACATGCTTCACAGTGTGTAAAGTCCATACCACACTGAAATGATAACACCTGGAGCTTGTAAAGAAACACAGAGAGAGAAAGTGAGAAGACTGTCTGCGTTACGCTCTAGGGTATACGTGCTATCACATATGTACATTTTCAGTATGTATTTTTTGTGCGTATGATGAATTAAAGATACTCAGCAGGTGGTGTCTGATATCAGCTGTACGGGTTGATGAATGTGTGTGCTATCATAGTGAGACATTTCACAAAGCCCCTTTGAATTAAAGCTGGATTATAATTTATTTGTGCTGTAGGTTTGTGTGAGTGTGAGAGCCTTAGGAAAATCTTCTTTTTTTCAGTGGATCAAATTAACGTTAATTCTTCCTTCATGAGAACACAGGATATGTTTTTGTAAATGTACTGTCTGTTTGGTTTTGGATTCTTTTCTTTGCATCTGCATGTGATAGCACCACTCACAATATCTGAAGATTTTTGAGAAGTAAGCAAGCACGTAAAGTGTTCTGACACCAGCTGGCAAAGACTATATACTACTAGGCGAGATAAGACATGTCTGAAGAAAAACTGTTTGGTTTTGGATTCTTTTCTTTGCATCTGCATGTGATAGCACCACTCACAATATCTGAAGATTTTTGAGAAGTAAGCAAGCACCTAAAGTGTTCTGACACCAGCTGGCAAAGACTATATACCACTAGGCGAGATAAGACATGACTGAAGAAAAAAGTTTTTTAATGTGCAAGGGGACTCTGGTTTAATTCCCAACTTTATATATATATATATTAATTCAAAGAAATTAATGCTTTCATTCAGCAAAGACACATTGAATTGATCAAAAATTATACTTTTGCATTGCTTAAAAAAATTCAAATAAACTTTGTTCATTTCTATTCTTTTAAACTTTATATACATCAAGGAATCCTGAAAAAAAATATTATGAAAAGTTACTTTATAATATTAAGCAGTTTTGTTGATTATAATGAGAAATGTTACTGAAGCACCAAATCAGTGTATTGAATTTTGAAGGATCATGTGATACTGAATACTGGAGTAATGGCAGCTGAAAAGTCAACTTTGCCATCACAGGAATAAATTCCATTTTAAAATAGCAGTTTTCTATTTAAATATGTTTTAAATTGAAATAATATTTCATAAAATTGCTGTTTTTACTGTATTTTTTAAAATAAAAATGTAAAAATCTTACCCACCCTAAATTTTTGAATTGTAGTTTATAAAACAAACAAATATTTTTAAATCATTTTTAACTAATCGATTGTTTAATTATTAGTTTGATTAAATTACCGCTGAATCTAATAGCCAGCGATCACCATGAAATAAAGTACCTTATATACGACTTCATATACAATACTTTTTGCGGAAATTGCATTCTACAACCAGTCAATTTAAATATTTTCAAAAATATAGGGGGGGGACATATTTGTAGTTTAAATCAGCACAATGATTTTGCTATACACAATCACTATAAATAATAACTCTTTTGCTCCAATTATGGGGTGGTTTTGAGATTTGAGAAATGTAAGATATATTACGTCATGTTACTCTCATGAGATTTGAGATCAAACATCTGTGACGGTGAATCATTTTTTTGCTAACTTTAGTTTCTGAATCAGTGTGACAGCAGACCCTTTTACATTCTTCCAGGAAGAAAAACGTGTCGTTTACTATCAGAGCCACACCAAAGTCAGCCAGACAGACAATAATCCTTCCCTTCCCGTGACAAAAGGACCAGCCTGTGATGTATAAATGCACCATATTGGCTCAGAGGTCATGACCTGATGAGCCAGAATTCCACACCCTACTTCATCAGATGTCTGTGAGCCAGACAGATGCAAAATGTCTCCTAGGAAGTGTCTTTGAAGTAACTGATGCAATAATTTACCTCCTTATTCATTATGTGTTTATATTTAAACGATTACTCACCGTAACTGTAAGGATTTTTGTTTATTCTGGATTAGTGGATCGCCATGGTGGCAAAAGTAGATGAGAAAGAGAGACAGAGAGAATAACAGATGAGAAAGGAAGTCTTTAATCCTGGCTGAAGTGCTTGTATTGCTGTCTTCATGCCGACTGCATTGCTGCCTTACCACACCGCCTGCCACAAACCTCCATGAGCCGCAGTGGGGTTGTTGTCATGGACACTAGAGACAACTGCAGCAAACTGAGGGCTGTTCTCAAACAATCTGGTCACATTTCTTATTCTTGACCGCAACCACACCAGCTTTCTCTCGAACGAATGGGTTTTTTAGTTTCAGATGTCGTGCTTGATTTTACAGTGCTGATGTGGTTATTGCGGCAGTGTGTCTGTTTTATTCTGATCAACTCTAATAGCTTGAAAAACTCGGTTTCTCAGTCATCTCAATGGCAGTTGCTCCGTATTTCACCATTTCAGTCAGGTTCTCCAGTCAGTTTTTCAGTTCAAATCATCATGGTAGTGAACACAGATAAAGCTGAGGTCACGGTGTACTGCTAAAACCATACTGTTATGCCCAGCGCTGTTTCTCAAAGCTGGTTTGTTTATGAGGTGTTGCTCGTAAATACCCAAATGGTGTATTAACAATCATTTTCTTGCACAGGCGTTGCGTGTGGTTTAGAAGCACATCCAAAAGAAAACAAGCATATAGAGACGCTTTCTACAGGAAAATTCTATTTAAATAGTACGAAAAATGGTTTATTGCGGACAATTTTGTTGAGCGACACAGCTCCCCGAACATTTTCCTATCATTCTTGCACCTCTGCAGATAAAATGCACAAATAGGTTTTTCTTGGACTTGTGAGCCTCATTTTTAGAAATTAACCCAGAGTTTCCACTGTGGACTGTGACTTTTATTTTGTGTTTATTTATATATGATACAACTGAGGCTCATAAAAACACTAATTGGCAAGGTAGGTAATTGGTAAGTAGCCTGAAAGTAGGTAAAATACCGTTCAAAAGTGTATGATTTTTAAAATGTTTTAGAAAGCAAGTCTCTTGTGCTCATTAAGGCTGCATTTATTTGATCAAAAATACAGTAAAAACTGTAATATTATTAATTTATTAGTTTATTAATTCACTTTATTTAATATATTTAAAGTATAATTTATTTTTGTGATGATTCAGTAAAGCTGAATTTTCGGCATCATTACTCCAGTCTTCAGTGTCACATGATTCTTCAGAAATCATTCTAATATGCTGATTTGCTGCTCAAGAAGCATTTCTCTATTGGTATTGATGTTGAAAACAGTTGTACTAAATATTTTTGTGGAAAACATATTACTGATTTTTTTTTCAGTATACTTTGATGGATAAAAAGTTCAAAAGAGCAGCATTTATTGGAAATGTAAATCTTTTGTAACATTACAAACTTTTTTAGTGTCACTTTTAAACAATTTAATACTTCCTTTCAAAACAAAAGTGTCCATTTCTGGCCCGAAAGTAGGTACTGCTGATGCTTATATGTGCTTATAATATAAAATACACATTTTAATAACCCCAGCATGAAAAAGGCTAACAAATTTATCACAGTGAACTTGCAGAGTAAAAACATTAGCTTTGTTTTTGACCAATTCAGTCAGTTTACTTTAGAATGATTGAGCAGCACAGTGTGGCCAAGAAGTCCAGAGTGAAGACAAACACTATCGACTATGTGCAGTCCTTATAAGGAGACAGAGGGGATGCGGGATTGGCTGGGGGATCGGAGGCTCTGCGCTGTATTGGATTAAATATGGAAGAGAGAGTCCAGAACAGGCCATCTCAATAGAAAAATCTTTTACTGGAAGACTGGAAAAAGAGAGAAAAAGTGAAAGAGAGAAGCAAAAGTGGTTTAAGAGTAGAAAAATGAGTCATTTTCAGATGCTGGTTTGGAAATACAGAGAGGGAGTTCACATTCACAGATTAAAAGACCATATTTATAGATGCTTGATGAATAGATTCAGTTAGGAATAGTTCACCCAAAAAAGAAAATCCATTTACTCACCCTCATGTCATTCCAAAACTGTATGACTGACTTTTTGCAGAACACAAAAGATTGTGTTATTTTCATTTTTGGATAAACTATTCCTTATATGAGAATGGGGGTGATGTTGTAATGAGAGAGCGGGGCACTTGTGTGTTGACAGGATGGAAAGTTAGAGTCTTAACCGATGGTCTGGTCAAGAGCTTAAAGGTCTTTATGTCTGGACAGCAGACAGAGATGTTTGTCATATTAGACATATAGATAGTGTTTGGGAGACAGAGACACACACTATCTATGACACATTCTCACAGTCTCTGGTACTCTGGGAATTGCATTGTTTGCAGATGGGGTTATTTAGGATTATTGTGGGCAGCTTGACAGTTTAAGTTAAAGTGTGTAATTTTTGTCAGATGAAAATGACTTAAAGGGATAGTTCACTAAATTCTAAAATTCATTAGAATAAAATGTATGCACTCAACCTCAAGTCGTTTTAAACCTGTTTGACTTTTTCTTTTGTGGAACATAAAAGATATTTTGAGAAATGTCTCTGTTTATTGTCCATACAATGGAAATTAATCAGCACCAAATATTGTTTGGTTACCAACATTCTTCAAAATCTATTGTGTTCAGCAGAAGATGAAAGTCATACATCTTGGATGAACTATCACTCTAGGTATTTCTATACTTTTAAATACGTTGCAGTCTTATACTGTATATTCATATATATATATATATATATATATATATATATATAAAAGTGTGAACATTTATCAGTGTGTTTTGAGTCAGATCTGAATATGTACAGTATTAGGCTTTTAGAGTAAAAGTTATTGTAGTGATTGGCACCAGCAGATATCGACTTGCTATTTACTGGCTGTTATGAGTCATTCCTGAGAATTAGCATGAGTGCTAAACAGACCGATCCTCTCTGCCAGCTGTAGGAGCGAGTCAAGGGGGCGACTCATCTGCACCCCGACACAAGCACACACGCAGGCCAGGAGAGGAACATAGAAGAAGACAGAGCACTATACTTAAAATAGACATTACACATCCAGAGAGAAATGATAACTGCACACATACTCCCATTAGTCTAAAATAAGTTAGAATGCGTTCACACATACACAAATAACAATTGCACAAATGTTAAGAACAGAAAATGAACTGTGGGGATAAAGAGTTCCAGAACATTTTATCTACTGCAGATGTAGAAATTATCCAAGAATTGTCAGTAATCTGTGTCTACAGTGCAAGATATACAGATTTATCTGAATAAACAGTCTTAGATTAAAACAATCTTTTGAAATTCAAACAAAATGAATGACTGATGGGAGAAAGTAAGCCTTGAAGATGATCAGAGATTAAAAAACAACAACAATAATTGCAAGGTTTAGACAGTGTTTTTGTTCTTTACTCTAACTTTGTTTAATTTGAAGTGTATAAAATAACATGAAATTGTGAAATATTTACTTTTAGTCTTCCAATTGTGTGCGTGTACAGTTTACATGCTTTAGAGGATGTTTTTTAAAACAAAACTCATATCATTTCCAAGAGTGAGATGTTATCTAAGGGTTAGATTTGAAGGTTTAAAGAGTGGAGGAATAACACAAGGCAAGCACATGGATTAGGAGAGATGTAAGTGGCTTAAATATATTGTTTTATGTTAAACAATCTGGATTTATTTTATTATAATGTGCTACAATGCGGCATGAATAGTTTGTTTAGGTTTTTTTTTTACAGCTGGTTTTGTACAGATGTCTGTGACTGTAGAACCACTGTGTGTAAAAATATCATAGATTTACAGGACATAAAAATAAATGGTCTAGTTTATGATTTGATTTGGTTTCTCTTTTATTTCATATATAACAGCCACAAAATTTTAATTGACATTTGTTTAAAATTTCATTTGTTCTTATTTTCCAAAAATATGTATTATTTGTTTGCAATTTTGATTAATAGCTCTCAACACTGAAACTCCCCATCATTTAGTTGTGTTGTCAAATGTTAAAGAACTGTAAAACATGTCATAGCTCATTAATGTATTTAAAAAAAAGAAAAAGAATATTATACACACAGTATTAAATTTTTTACATTTTATAGCTGAGCTTAATAAAGTTAAGCAACGGGACTTTTATTGTGTAGGTTCTTGAGTTGTCGGACTTTTATTGTGTCAGCCTGCCGTCGGTGAGTCAGAGCAGAGCGCTACAGCGAGACGCTGCGTCACTCAGCGCGTGTCTGCGCGTTCAATATAAAGACAAGAGCAGCTGAGTGAGCGCCGCAGTCCTCACACACACTCTCACTCACACCTGCAAGGAATTACATACTAGCGACGGGAATAACTTTAACAAGGTGAGAAACAAGGTACAAACTTTTCTTCTATATTTAGAGTAACTTTCATGGCTGAATGTAGGTCATTTAATCAATAAGTAACTTATTTCTGTTCATTGATGCAAATCTGATATACGTGAGAGAACATGTAACCATTTAACACTTAATGGATAGTTTTTTTTCATGTTTATTTTTTTGTGTGTATTACCTTTTTATTGTGCAGACTTTTTTTTGTCTTTATTTAATATTTAGGGCAGAATGTTTTACTTGCAACAGAATTTAATTGGGAAAAAGTTATGAATCAAAGTTGACATCAACAAAAGAATATATAGAAAGAGAACAATCTAATCTACTGGTGTGTGTGTGTGTG